TTTGAACCGACAACACATTCAGAAGAGCAAAATAAGAAGAGAAGAATGACATTGAATTTTTTTTTTTCGTTTTTTAACGATAAAAACTGAAAATTCTTGTTGCGTCATTCTTCTCTTTCTTATTTTGCTCTTCTGAATCTGTGTTGTTGGTTCAAAAAAAAAATAGAGAGAGGAAAAGCACAAAAATAAGAAAAAAAAAAAAAGGAAGGAAGAAGTTGAACAAAAAAAATGGGAATAGGATCACCAAAAAAAAAAAAGAAGACGCAAAAAAAAAATAAAAAAAGGAGAGAGAGATGATGAGAACCCCAAAGAGAACAATGAGACCCACAGCACGACAAGGGATTTCTAAACTCCAGAAAAGCTAAATCAGGTTTATAATAGGACATTGACCCATTGTTTATGTCGCAACAAGAACCAAAGGTAAAAACCTTGACCTGTTGTTCTCTTTGGGGTTCTTATCACTATTAAAATTTAAGTAATTTTCAAATAAATACTTTGAAATCAAATTATGTAATAATTGCAAATCAAATCCTCAACCTTTTAATAAGTCCAAAAGAACTAAATCGAGTCTCAACTAAGTCCAAACTAATTTTAATAAGTGTCTGTCACACACCCTAACCCCCAACATCTTTAATATCGTTACCTGACATGGTGGATAAGGAAAAACAAGAGATATACTCTCAGTAAGTGAATATTAGGCTTCCTCTTTTTATTTATAAAATTTAAAATTAAGCATGCCAACAAGTATAAATAGAGTATCAAGAAAATTGGTACTAGTACAAGAAATAAAATAGACGTCTCCTCTATAAGTCATGGCCAACGTTTATAAACCTCCCACTGGCGAGCACAAGATTTGCTAGTGTATAATCCAACAAGTAGAATAACAAGTATAACAAGAATAAACCGGTTCTATAAATAGCATGTCAACATGTGCTAGTGTTTATAAACCTCCCACTAACGAGCACAAGCAGAACATGACTGTATAGGAGACTAAAATAAGCTAGTAAGTACATTTCAACTAAACATACTTATTTCAAGAAACATGTATTACAGGGATCAAGCAACATGTATTAAGAACTTTTTATGAATATGCTTGCTTAACTAAATAAATTCCAACTTAAAATAAAATGAGATTCAATCATAGTAACTAAACCAAAACATGTTCTTAATCCTGCCACCATCTCAAAATCAATAAAAATCATGTTTTAAAATTATATTTAAAATCGAGGGTAAAACTGTAAATTCACTTATCTTGAAAAAGAAGATCTTAATTTGAAATGTGCAAATAATCAAAAATCTAAAATTTACATTGAATACTAATCAACAACAATCTAGAATTACAAATCCAGAATTACTAATCCTAATTTAACTTAGGTTAAATCCCCATTTTGGTCCCTGAACTATTGTATGGACCCCCGATTTGGTCCCTGAACTAAAGAAATCTCTGATTTAGTCCTTAAACTATTGTACGGACCCTCGATTTGGTCCCCACTGTTTATAATTTGGCCTAAGTTGGTCCTTGAACCATTGTACGGACCCCCAATTTGGTCCTTACTATTTACAATTTCGCCCCAATTTGGTCCCTGAGCTATTATTTAACAAAAGGACCAAGTTGGGGTTAAATTGGTAAACAGTAGAGACCAAATTGGGCATCCGTACAATAGTTTAGGGACTAACTTGGGAGTCCGTACAATAGTTTAGGGACCAACTCAGGGGTTCGTACAATAGTTCAATGACCAAATTAGGGATTTCTTTAGTTTAGGGACCAAATCGGGGGTCCGTACAATAGTTCAGGGACCAAAATAGGGGTTTAACCTTTAACTTAATACTACTTAATTTTATAAAGTTTGTATTGAATTTTCCACATAGGTGTTTGCATTTGTTTACTGACTAAAATTGAGGATGTTGACACCACTGTATCAACCCATAAACCTATAACACGACCCTTATGTACTACGCCACACGAGTACCACCAGCCCCTTCTATTTTTATTCATATTATTTTAGTGGACCAGTAGGTGTCAACACCTGATTTGTTAGCAGCATTAGAGTGTTGGTACTACTGAAAATTTTCTAAACAACAAAGCAATGGTGTTGTCGTGACGCATCATCGTGTGCACAGTAGCACCAAGCACTTGCACTCAATAATGTGGGTGCTGCTGTATAGCAGTTCCTTCTCCCCACCTTTAATTGCTACTTATATAAATATATTTATATATATTTGTATTCACATCATCTACTACTAATTCAATAGCTCTTAAGACAAGATATGAAAACTCACCAGGATCTAAGATTTGACGTTAGATTTGAAACGAAACCTTAATAACAAGTGAAAAGGAGATCTGGAGATTGCAATATTGGGTTTAGCAATAAAGATCTAAAGAAACGAGAAAGAACAAGAAATCAAGATGAATATTTTTACTCACCATTAGAATCTTAAGGTTGAACTATAGGAGAAGAAGATGGCTGGATCTAGGAGGAGGTGTTTATTATGTAAAAACAAATTTATTTTGAGATGAGAATAAGGTTGAGTGACAAACTTCACTTTTGTTTGAATTTTTATTTAGGAAAATAACAATTCCTAACTTAAAAGACATTAATCCCAAATTAAATCCTTGAATCAATCCTTAATATAATCAAAATTTAAGATCATAAATCCCCATAATTAGCAATTAATCCCAGCCATTAATTAGGTCATGCACATTTAATTATATTGGTTTCTTGAAATCAGGGAAAATATGCGGGTTACTACATTTGATTTTACAAGATTTTGTGACTACACCAGCACTCGTCTAACGTTGATTTTTGTTGGCAAAGAAAATTTGAATAAAAGATTTTTGGAGTGTTTCAATATAGATAAAACTCATGCTTTAAGAGTACCAATGGTGGTTCAATCCCTTGACATAAAGGAGGACACTTTTCATCCATGAAAAGATGATTTTTTTATCTTGAAGTACCATATTTGATTGCAATCAATTCATTAATATATCTTACTGATAATATATATGTTATGATATAACATTTTATAAAAATTCATTACATTAACTTAAAGTCACCAGAGTGGAATTAAACTTACATTTTCTCACCTTGAAGAGAAAACTGTTATATGGTTATTATTTCCAAAGTGCTCAAAAATCAAAGTTAATTCAATATGTGAATTTTGTAAATTTATCATATCCACATAAAGGATTATTACAATTATAGATTTTATATACTTATATCAGTATTACTATGGTGACCACATCCACAAATAATTTAGAAATATTTGTACCCTATGAGGCAATTCAGTAATATGTGTGGAATAGATATTTGATTCCATGCAAGGATAATGGTACAAGCACTGTATAAGTAAAAGATAATTATATTAAGGGAGATAAAATCAATGCACATCTCACTACAAATTTTCTCTATATATAAACTCCCAAAGAGGAGTGAAATAACTGCTTATGAAATGTATTCAAGCATTGAAAATCTAGTAGATTTTCTTTATAAAATTATTAGTTACTAGAATTTGGAGTAGCTCATAAATAAGATTTGGCATGCATTGCCTGATCAAAGATATTCATTGAAGTGAGGGGAGAATTACATGCATTGCACTTTTGTTCTCCTTTGCTGTGGTTTTTTTCCCACTGGGTTTCTCTTGAGAAGTTTTCTAATTTGATGGTTTAATAATATCATATAATAGATGGTAAGCATTAAAGGGAGAGTATTATGAACTAAATTCATTGTGGATGTTTCATCTTTACACACCATGTACTAGTGATTAGCACCCTACTTTTCTTATGCAATTATAGTGGTGGTTTTGTCATACCATGTAACATCAAAGGAAAATAACTGGTATCTCCTCCAGTTTGACACACTTTTCAATACTCATCCGGTTAGTCATTAAAATATAATATAAGTACGGCCAATTCAGCTAGTTCCTACATCCTGCATGCATAACTACATCTTTAAGTTTTTCTGCTTTTATTTTCAAGTTGGAAAACATTGATTTTTTAATGAGTATGTTGTGTAATATATTGAACCAAATGGTGTACCAATTTGTTTAACTTCAAAACTTAGTGATTTGTGGGTGATTAAATCCATGTAACCACTCAGTTAGTGAATGATTTTTCAATGTAACTCTTCACTTTATAATCTTGCATGGCGTATGGAAAATAGAGAAGAAATAATAAGAAATATCACTTT